AGACAGAGAGGAAGATCTTCTGTCCGATGATTCACTCCCCAAGTGAGCGCAACAGTCGATGCTATGCCGATCTGAAGCCAGGAGCCTCTTCCGGGTCTCTCGCGTGGGTGCAGGGTTCCAAAGCTTTGGGCTGTCCTCGACTGCTTTCCCAGGCCACAAGCAGGGAGCTGGATGGGAAGAGGGGCCACAGGGATTAGAACCGGCGCCCATATGGGATCCCGGGCGTGCAAGGCGAGGACCTTAACCACTGCGCCACCGCACTGGGCCCCGGAAGGTACATTTTCAAAACAAAAACCAAAGCAATGAAAAAAAAAAATGTAGGTACTTCAAAAAGTTTATGGCAAATGAAATTAAAAGAGGTATATTTTAGTGGTTTTTTTTCTTTAGAGTGAAAAGTTTTAAAATTTATGACTATAAGGAAACTTCAAGAAGGTCACAGGCCATGAAAACATTATGCATGGATTTCAAAATTTGGGGCATCAAAATAAACTTATATTTTAATTCCAATTTTCCACGGGATTTCTGAAGTACCTTTGTACAACATAGCCGTGCTCTCAAGACCAGTTTAATAAAAGATAAAAACGTAGTCACATACATGTCCTTCACTGTGAAAGGCACAGGATTAACAGGAATAGACACTAAGGACGAGCGGGGAGGACGCAGGACTGGACTTTTCAGAGCTGTTGGTACTCGGGCCTAGTTAGATAGGGGAAAGCCTATGTAACACACAGAGGTGTGAAGCAACGGTCAATCTGGCAAACAGGGTAAGGTGGCTGCAGTTTAGTGCCCAAGAAGACGCGGCTGGACACGAAGCTGGCAAGGCCGCTGACCGTTCTGGCACACACAGGAATTTGGACTTTATCATACAAAGTAATGAGGAAATAGGACTTACAGCATATGACCAGCTGATTTGGAAAGCTCACTCTGGCAGTACTGTGGCAGAGGCAGAAAGTCTAGAGCAGCATGGTCCAATGGGACTTTGACGGGAACATTCTATAACCTGTGCTGGCCCTTGTGGTCACCGCTAGCTACATGTGGCTCCTAAGCACTGGAAACATGGCCAGTGTAATTGTGAACATAAATTTAAAATTGGACTTAAATTCAAACAGCCACAACTAGCTAGTAACTGCTGTACTAGGCCGTCAGCTCTAGAGATAACCACTTAGGAGGCTGCTACAGCTGAGGTGCCTGGACAGGACACAAAGGTGATTCAGTGGCTACTTACGTGGCAGCCTGCAAAGAGGAGTGGATGTAAAGTTGTGAGGAAAGCAATCAAGACTGACTTTAAATGCCACTCGGAGTGTCTGACAAGGGACAGGCTGCCTCCAATTTTGAACACACTCAAGGGTGTGACAGTTACTTAAGTAGGAAAATTTAATAGGAAGTTAAGCTCGGGAGAGAGAAGCAATGAGGCACGCAGTGAGATGAGCTAGGGATGAACAGAATTAGAAGACACCAGGCAGAATCGCAGCAACTACCAACACAAAGGAAGGTGCAAAACCAGAGTGCACGAAGGAGCCGTGGCAAGAACAGTCAGAAACGCAGAATGGTGCCAGAAATCCGCTGGAAGGACGATGTCACAACAGAAGCATGACCAAATGTCAGCGCTTCTGAGAGGTCACACAAGGTGAGAACTGAACCCCGTTCTGGATCTGGCCAATTAGGAGGTCCCTGGTGATCTGCCAGAGTAGTTTTGGTAGTGGAGGCTGACAGAAACTGCTTGAAGAATGGGGACAGGGAGAGCGAAGAGGAAGCAAAGTGCAAGCCAGAGACTACTTAGGCAAGTTTCATTGCCATGCCATGGCTGAGCTGTGTGCGGAGCAGACTCTAGGAGGGGTGACATTGAGAAGGCTGTTTTTTTTTCGTTTGGGGCTGGGAAAACAGGAGAGAGGTTAGGAATGCCAAAGGGCACAGAATGGAAAGCCACAGAGTACCAGAGGTAGACTGGGTCAAAAGTACAGGGATTTCCTTAAACGCAACAGAAGCTCCCCAGTTCACAGGTGGGAGCCGGAAGCTGCAAATGCTCCTGCAGGCTGGGTCTTCTGAGAGCTGGTTACTTACTGCAGGAGGGGCGTGGTTAGGAAATGAGAGGTGAAATCACCTTACTGAAGGCACACAGCTAAGGCAGGGGTGCACGGCCAAGAACTATCACCGCAGTATCTGTGCGTTAATGACCACGGTATCTTATACCACCGCCCCCTATTTGTATGGCGTGGATTCAAGACTCAGAGTGGAGGTCAAAGCTTTAGGACTGGAGTTATAACTTCAGTATTTGGCCAGGGGACCTGAAGGCCGGTGAAAACAGGGGGGGAAGTGGGATTGTAAAACAGCACGGCGATTCACAGGCTCCAAGGAAAGAGGACCAGGGACAGTGGAGGTCTTTACACCAAGGGTAAGAGGCCGAACAAGACACCCCGGTCCAGAGCGCACACCCCATCTCCCCGCGCAGGATGCAGGAGGGCGGTCAACTCCTCCCGTGGGCCTGGGGAGCAGACCCACCCTGCAAACCCCGGACTCCCCGGTCCCAGGCCCTGTCGTCCCTCACAGACCACAGCTCCGCGGCTGGACTCCGGCAAGCCCAGCGGGATCGAGCCGGGCAGTCCAGGCCGCCGCCGAGGCCGCGGGCGCTGTGGGGGCAGGGCTGCAGCGCGGGCGGGAAGGAGCGCGACGCCGGGCCCGCCCCACCCACTGCGCGCGCCCCGGGCCCGCAGCGCGCCTGCGCAGCCCGGCTGAGCCCGCGGCCTCGGGCACTCCTCTCCCCTCCCCCAGCAAGGCGCTCGCTTGCGCCTGCGCAGTGCGTGTCGCGAGGCTGCGGCAGCCATGCTGAACCCGTACCGTGAGGCGAGTGGGGGGAGAGGGTCGAAGACAGCGGGAAAAGCAGCCGGGGATGTGGAAAGGCAGCAGCTTTAGACAGCTTTGGGTCTCGGGAGCTAGGGCTGGGCCTTAGGGCCCCTTTGGCCCCCTTCGCGATCCCGCAAAAACGTTCGGAAAAGCGGCCCTCGTGGCGGGGGTGGAGGTGAAGGGAGACGGACACGTGACCGCAGCCAGCCAATCGGGGTGGTGCTGACGTGGCCGCGCGGCCGGGACGCGCTCCCCACCCCCACCCACTGGGGGAGGGAGGGGCTGGGGGCGACGCCCCCTCCCCCAACGCTGCTGCGGTTTCCGGGGGGGTTGACACCCCGGATTACGTCCTCCCCCCGTACCAAGCCGCGGGCGACACTGGAGCCCCCCTGGAATGTGGCAGGATCCAGGTGAGAAGGGGCCTGTGGGGAGGCGGGGATAGCAGTAATTGAGGTGCTGAAATCAGGGGTGGGGAGCCTGGGAGGGGGCTTCTTGGGGTGCCAAGGAGAATTCTGAGCGAGCAAGACCTGCCCATCTAGCATTTGACTGGCCCTGGGAGCGGGAAGGGGGGCCGAGCGGGAGAGGGCCACTGATGGGGGAGGGGAATGACCAACCTCGTGCCACATACCAATGGGAGGGCCAAGGGACGGGGGGCGGTGTGTACCCCCCCAGTCCTCCCCTAGGGGTCCAGGCGCCCAGAGCCAGGTGAGGAGGGACCCTCTGGGCGGCTCAGGGAGGGGTGGCTGCAGTTCCTGCCCTTGGAGGGGAATGCTTTTAAAATTGCCTCCCTCGGTGGTGAACTGGGATTGTTCCCAGATGCCAACTCCCTTGTCCCCAAAAAAGAACAAATTCTGGAGGGAGCACTTCTGGGCTTCCTTTGTGTCGGGGTACGAAGCTTGCAGACGGCTCACGGCCTGCTGGAGGGCAGCTTCGAGACGCTCATGGCATGGCGGGGCGTTCACGTGGGCACGGCCTGCGGGGCCTGGTGCAGCAGCCCTGTGTGCCAGGCTGCGGGGGGCTTGGGAGTTTGGGGGGTCTGCTTGTGGTGGCCACCAGGCCCACGCTGGGTGTGGGCAGGGGGCGAGGAGGCTGGTCTGGCCCTGGAATGCGTTCAGGCTCGCCAGGATTCGGGTTTCTCCGGGTCCCCTCCCCCAGCCCCGCACAGTTCTCCCCTTGTGTCCTGCGGGGGAGGGAGCGGAAAGCAGGGAAGAGTTGCTTTTCCAAATGACTGAGTGTCGGCCGCCTCCCCTGTGACTCACGCAGGGGAAGGGAGGCCCGGGAGGGAGCCGGGCGCCGTGATTTTCCGGAAAGCAGGAAAAGGAGCGAGAGTGATGTCTGGCTGCCCTTTCCCTGGCCGGGGCTCTGTTTGCTCAGCCTGCGGAGGTTTTCTGGCCGGGCCGGGCCCCCTGGTGGGCCGCGGGTCGGACCTGCCCAGCGCCGGGGAGGCAGGCCGCCTGGGGGAGGGGAGAGGCCGGCAAAGTTGCTGTGTCATCGGCCTCCCGGGCGCGGCCGCCTGTGCAGCGCGGCCCGGGCCTGCTCCCCTGCCCGGCGGGGAAGGGGCTCGGCCGGCCCCGGCGCGTCCCTCGCGCGGGCGGTTTTAGTCGTGTGCTCGAGAAGACGGCGGCCGGCAGCCATGTTAGGTGCAGTGGACGAGGTTCGGGCCCCAGGCTCCTGCGAACGAGGGAAGGTGGCGTGGCTGGAGCTCCCGAATCTAGGCTGAGCCCCTCCCTGGGAAACAAGAGTTTTTCTGAGATGTGTTCATCGACAGTAACTCCTTTCCCAGGGAGGCACACAAGGAGTCTGGAAGGAGACCCGGGCGGACGCAGCCCAGCACTGTGGTGGAGGCCGTGCATCCCTTTGCTGTGTCTGGCCGGTAGAGGCCTTAGGCGGCCTGACCTTGGGCTCTAGTTCCTTATTCATACAGTCGGCTGCCCTGTTCAGATAACCAAATCCAGAGGACTTCATAGTGAGTTGGGGGATGGGGCCAAGCAGCTCCCAAAATGGCTCCTGCCCCTCCTCGGAGGCGGACGGCCCGGGGGGAGGGGAGGAGGGGGAGGGCTCGCCGCAGCCGCCGCCTCCTCCGCTCGCCCTCCTCCCCGGCGCTGACCGACGGACGAGCCGCTCCGTGGGGAGGACTCCGGACCCGTGGGGGATGGGGGCCCTAGGAAGGCGGCGCGGAGGGGGCGGGGAGCCCGCGGCGAGGTCCGAGCTCTCCTCCAGGGAGAGGCCGCTTCCCGACTCGCCCCTGGGGTTAGGACTTGTTTTTCCCTACCCTGAGCCAGACCCCGGCACGGAGTTTGGGGAGGTGGGTTCCTTTGTGTAGGGCAGGTGGGTGCGGTGCAGATTCTGCTGCCCCTGAAGGCCCCAGGGTTTGTGGAGCCGGCGACCCGAGCCTGGGCAGGGATCGGCGAGGTGGGGCGTGCAGGTGCTGGGGTATCCCTGCTCGGGGCCTGCTCAAGCTTCGGGAGGTAAGAGGTGAGGGGGCTTTGGCGTTGCTGTTTTGCCTGTTGGGCCTGGGAGAAGGACGGGAGGATTTTGAGACTTGGAGGAATCTGTATTGTAGGCCGTGGGGGAACGTTCCCGCTCAGCTGTTCGCCAAACAAGAGCAGGCCGCGGCCTCTAAGATGGCGTCTTTCTCGTTTCAGACTTCCCTGCGGCGGCCGCCCCGCCGAGAACAACAGCCCGACGGCCGGCGACGCCCACGCGGCCCCGCCCGTGTCCTGCGGCTCGGCCAGCGGAGCAGCTACCGGTGCCGCGACCCGCGCGGGCCCCGCGGTGGCCATTCGCTCCGTGCATGCAAGACTGGAAGGGAAGGCGGGGAGAGGGTGCCGGAGCCTCGGGGGAGATGGCCTCCGCGCCCCTCGCAGCCGCCCTCCTCGCCGGGAACCGCGGGGCCGCAGCGCAGCCATTGGCCCGGAGACATGGCGGCCGCTGCCCTGTGGCTCCCTGCGGCACTCGCCCGCCCGGGACGGACGCGCTGGAAAGCGGGCCTATGACGTCATCGCGCCGCCCGGCCAATAGGAGACGCTCCCGCGGAGACGTGTCCCGCCCCCTCCGGCCTGGCTGCTGCACGCGCGTGAGCGAGCGGGAGCGCGCGGAGGGGGCGGGGGAAGGCTGGGGCAGGGTGGCGCGCATGAGCGGCGAAGCTCCGCCCCCCCGCCTATATATAAAGGGCCGGCGCGGGGCTCGGCGGCGCCATTTCGCGCTGGAGTGGAGCAGTCTCTAGAACGAGCTGGGGGATTCTGCCTTCCGAAACAGCCTTCGAGTCGTCGGGGGCCGCCATTACAATCCACGTCCATCCACTTGGAAATGGCCTTCCTCTCGGCTTATGACCGGTCCCGGCGGACAGTAAAGACCCCATAGAAGCCCCGGGGGCTCCCCTTTTTCGAGCCCCGCCCAATCCTCGGAGTCTGTCCACCCCTCTACTCCGCCCTCAAGAGGATTTCAAAGATGGAGGCGGCGGCTCTCTAAAGCACTTTTCCTGCTCATCCGCCTCCATCCGAGGTCGAAACGGGACTTCGTCCGTTCCGGGCGACCCCGGCTGCAAGAGGGAACCCCTGCAAACCGGCCGCGGGCTGTATTGGCGACTGTGTCTGGGATCGGGGATCGGCTTCACGTTTGAAGAGTCCTTCCCCCCTCTGCTCGCCCGCCTGAGCCGAGGCCGCCGCCATTTTCTTGCTGTCTGCCGTCTGCGAGTCGCGCCAAGCTGCCGGAGCTTTCCGAGAGGTAGCGGAGGGGGCTGCCCGGGTGCCCGCTCGGCCGCGGGGTCGCGCCTGGAGGGCCGACGGCAGCGGCCTCCCCCCCACTCCCCGGGTTATGCCGGGCCGGGCGGGGAGGGGAACCGAGGCCACCCGGACTTTCGGCTGAGGGCAGCGCCGGGTCCCCGTGCTCAAGATGCTGCAGAACGTGACTCCCCACGGCAAGTAGGTGTCCGCGCGCCGCGGGTGGGCCGGGGACGTTGGCGGCGGGTGGACGGCGGTTTGGCGCTGCGTGTGGGGGAGTGCAGGTTGTCGCTGGCGCCTGCCGGGCCTGGGCCGTCGGGGTGCGAGGGCTGGCATGCAGTTTCAAGCGGGCGGTGGGTCTGGTGCCCAGCAACGGCCTGTCAGTTTTTGGGAGAAGCTCAAGGCTACTTCCAGTGCCGCGTAGGGTTGCCATGGTGATAGCTTCAGGAATTGGCAAGGGGGCTTCTCAGAATGGGGTAAAGGGGTCACTAACCCGCCCCTGGGTTCCCAGCGTCTGGGTTGTGTCCTGAAGTTCCGGTCTGGCTCGAGTGTCTGCGTGGGGGTGCTTGGGGGGAGTTCGTTAAGTTTCATTCAGGGCAGGAGGTGGAGCTAGGGTTCCCCTAGCTTTGCGGATGTAAACAGTGAAGTCTTGAGTGTAATGTTGTGGGTCTCCAGTGATGGGAAGCACCTGGTCCAGAGAAGCACCCAAGGGACTACAAATGATTGTTGGTGCTAGGCGTTGGTGGAGTTGGATTTGCAGTGAGGCAGTTGGGGGCTGTCACACAGCGAGGCGGGCTCACTGACCTTGACTGCTGGGCGAGTGTTAAGGAGGGTCCGGGTGGGAAGCTGATGAGGCTGTTGCTCTTGGTGTCTGGTGTGATGATTGTGGTGGACTTGAAAGGCCATTTCCCAATGTGGAGTTCACTATTCCGTTTGTGTAGCACACAGGAGTTTTTGTGAACTCTTGGCAGTCTCATCATTTTATGATGCGATTTTTCTCCCTAAGTTATTGTTCCTCTTTTTACCAGCCAGCTTCCCAGAGACTTGCCACCATGGCAACCACCAAACCCCTAGCGATGAGGAAGCTTTGGGACTCCACCCCTTTTTTGCTTAAGCCCCATCCCCATAGGGCTACAGTTTTCAGATGTTAAGCTGTCTTGGGGCCTCAGTTGCATAAGGCTAACCCCTTCCAAGGGTCAAATCCTGAAATAGTCAGGCAAATAGTACGGATTTTGCTTCTTCGTGTGTGTCTGTACAGGCGCGGACTACATGCCTGTGAAATTATTGCATCTAATTTTGTTTCCCATCCTTACAGGCTTCCAGGGGAAGGGAATGCAGGGTTACTGGGGCTCGGCCCAGAGGCAGCGGCGCCAGGGAAAAGAATTCGCAAGCCCTCCTTGTTGTATGAGGGATTTGAGAGCCCCACGATGGCTTCAGTGCCAGCTTTGCAACTGACCCCTGCCAACCCGCCACCCCCAGAAGTATCCAATCCTAAAAAGCCAGGACGAGTTACCAATCAGCTTCAATACCTGCACAAGGTGGTGATGAAGGCTCTATGGAAACATCAGTTTGCCTGGCCATTTCGGCAGCCTGTGGATGCTGTCAAATTGGGTCTACCGGTGAGTAGAGACATGGGATTATGGGGGGGCAGGGTAATGAGCAAGAATGTGTGTGAGTGGGGGGTGGACTGCACAGAGTAGGTGCTGCGGCCCCTAGGGAATGGAGTCCCCATTTCACCCCCTGTAGGGCAGGTAGCCGCCACCAGAGCTTTGGATTCTTGGCCCTTTGTGATTGCTCCAGCCGCTTGCTCTCTCTTATCTTGGCATCTCTTATTGTTCCCTCCATGTGTCCTTCCTTAACTTTTGTGCCCTGGCTCCATTTTACAGATTCCCACCCCAGGTTGGGAGAGGACCACGGTGGCCAAAATTCTTAGCTTCTTCCTTTCCCTCATGCAGTCCATGGATAGCCAACCCCAGAGGTAATGTCACAGGATGGGAAGTTTGCAGAGAGGGAGGGAGGTGGGTGGTAGAGAAAAGCAGTAGGGTCCTCCCAATGGGTGTTAAGACTGCTTTTTCATTTGTTCACTCCTGTCCCTTAGTTTAGTCGGGGCCGCAGATTAGGAGCTATTAATTTGTTTAGGGTGTATGTGCGTGTGTGTGAGAGAGTGAGAGTTGTTTGGTAGTTTGGCTACGGAAGTAAGCGGGGGTTTGAGGGGTTTTTTTATGGCACTGATTTTAGCTTTTTGTTTAGGACTATCACAAAATCATAAAACAACCTATGGACATGGGTACTATTAAGAGGAGACTTGAAAACAATTACTACTGGGCTGCCTCAGAGTGTATGCAGGATTTCAATACTATGTTCACCAACTGTTACATTTACAACAAGGTGAGTTCGTTTAGATGATACTGTTGTGAAAGGTATTGCAAAGTGATCAGGGCCTAAATTTCTGCAATCTACATGGTACTGCTGAACGGTGATGTGTCTGCAGAGATCCTACATGCAAAGGTTAATTAACTGAACACATGTTATACCTGGAAATGGTGGTCTTGTTTCTCAGAAAACTCCAGGGACCAAAATAGAACAAAATCTCTGTTCCTATCTGTCATTTCCTTTGTTTCTGAACTTTAAGGAAACCATGCGAGGCTTGTTGCATTTTGAAATAGTTGAGAAAATTAATGTTACTGACCTAGTGTAGGTAATTCTCAGCTCTTGATGCTGAAGAGATTGGTGGTCTGGGGATAGGAATTCCTCAGTGTGTCTTCAGGTTTTTTAACCTTTTGTGTGTTGTGTTTTTTAGCCCACTGATGATATTGTTTTGATGGCACAAACGCTGGAAAAGATCTTCCTACAGAAAGTGGCGTCAATGCCACAGGAAGAACAAGAGCTTGTGGTGACCATTCCTAAGAACAGCCACAAAAAGGGGGCCAAGTTAGCAGGTAAGGAAGAGTGGGAGTTTTGCAAATGGGAATTTCAAACTAAAAATTACCCTCACTCACTCCACCCCCCTTTTTTTTCCAGCGCTCCAAGGCAATATCACCACTGCTCATCAGGTTCCTGCAGTCTCTTCTGTGTCTCACACAGCCCTGTATACTCCACCACCAGAGATCCCCACCACTGTCCTCAATATTCCCCATCCATCCGTCATCTCTTCTCCCCTTCTCAAGTCCCTGCACTCTGCTGGCCCTCCACTCCTTGCTGTCTCTGCAGCTCCGCCAGCCCAGCCTCTTGCCAAGGTATGGGTATGAAAATGCTCTGGGAATGGGGAAGTTTTGAGTGAAGTGGACCTGAGGTAATAGGCATGTATTGGTTTTTCTCTACAGAAGAAAGGGGTTAAGCGGAAAGCAGATACAACCACTCCTACTCCTACAGCCATCCTGGCTCCTGGTTCTCCAGCTAGCCCTCCTGGGGGTCTTGAACCTAAGGCAGCAAGGCTTCCCCCTATGCGCAGAGAGAGTGGTCGCCCCATCAAGCCACCCCGCAAAGATCTGCCTGACTCTCAGCAACAGCACCAGAGTTCTAAAAAAGGAAAGCTCTCGGAACAGTTGAAACATTGCAATGGCATTTTGAAGGAATTGCTCTCTAAGAAGCATGCTGCCTATGCCTGGCCTTTCTATAAACCAGTGGACGCTTCTGCTCTGGGCCTGCATGACTACCATGACATCATTAAGCACCCCATGGACCTCAGCACTGTCAAGGTACCCACTGCATGGGGCAGATGGGATGCTCAGGCAGTGTGATCAGAGCCTAGGGACTAGAGCAATTCAGTCACACTTCATTAGGGGCACAGTGCAGTCTGAATCTTGCTGTTTTATGAAATAGTAGGAAGGGAACCGGTCAAGTACTTGATGAAAGTGCGTATTTCCTGGAGTTTGCAACACCAAGGATGGGTTTTGTCTTCAGAACAACACAACTCATCTACAATTAAGTTGTATTTGTTTGGAAGCATCTCAGTTGGGGAAAAGGGTGGAAAGGTAAACTGAGACCTCCTCCCTTCCCCTACACTTGATTTTCTTTTCTAGACGTAAATGTTTCTGCAGTCCACTCATTGCTTTGACTTGAAACTTGAACTCCAGGGCACAGGTGCTTAAAGTGATCTCCACTGTGCTCTCAAGAAGAGGGCTGCTCTGGTGGTGTCTGGGGTTGGCAGGGAAAGGTGAGTCTGCCTGTGCAGCTTCTGATGCTGCCTCCTTCTGCAGCGGAAGATGGAGAATCGCGATTACCGAGACGCACAGGAGTTTGCTGCTGATGTGCGGCTTATGTTCTCCAACTGCTATAAGTACAATCCTCCAGACCATGATGTTGTAGCCATGGCACGAAAACTGCAGGTGAGTGAATGAGGATTTGGAGTCTGAAGTGTAAGTGGGTATGGGAGAGATTATTCCAAATCCTCATAACCTCCACATGGAACTTTCTACCCTGTTTTTAACTTGCATGAATGGGTATAGCCTGGCAGGGTGTCGGCATAGTTTCAAGTCTGCTTCTGTTTCCAGGATGTGTTTGAGTTCCGTTATGCTAAGATGCCAGATGAGCCACTAGAACCAGGGCCCTTACCCATCTCCACTGCCTTGCCCCCTGGCCTGGTCAAATCGTCTTCAGAATCCTCCAGTGAAGAAAGCAGCAGTGATAGTTCTTCTGAGGAAGAGGAGGAAGACGAAGATGAGGAGGAAGAAGAAGAGAGTGAAAGCTCTGACTCGGAGGAAGAAAGGGCACACCGCTTGGCAGAGCTACAGGAACAGGTATTATGTCACCCTTCAGTCTTTACTGGGTAAGAGGTTTATGTCCGACCTTTGCTCGGAGTTTTTTTTTTCTCTGATTCATTCTTTATTGTTTATGTCCTAATTCATGTCTGATTGTTCTTCAGCTTCGGGCGGTTCATGAACAGCTTGCTGCCCTGTCCCAGGGCCCAATATCTAAGCCCAAGCGGAAGAGAGAGAAAAAAGAGAAAAAGAAGAAACGCAAGACAGAGAAACATCGGGGCCGGACTGCAATTGATGAGGATGACAAAGGACCCAGGGCACCCCGGCCACCTCAGCCCAAGAAATCAAAGAAAGCGAGTGGAAGTGGCAGTGCTGCTGCTCTGGGCCCCCCTGGCTTTGGACCTTCTGGAGGAAGTGGCACCAAGTGAGTTCTTCACTACAGGACGGGAAGGAGAATCTAGTTCTAGTTTTCAGAGTGTGTCCACGTGGGGTCAGTGGATTTTATGCAGATGGTGGTAAAAGCAGGCTTTGCAACCACTCGATTGCCAGCTCTTACACTGTGAGGTGAAAGTATGTACACAAATTAACATAGCTGTGGTGTAGTGAAACTTTCAGAAGAAAAAGTAGTAATGGCTGTACTTGTTGTCTGGGTCAGTTTGCTGCTGCTCTAAACATAAACAGAAGTTAGACTTTGTGTGTTAGTACTGCATTGAGGAACAAAAAAAGAACCATTCATTCTAGCATATCCTGGTGTTCAGAACCCAAAGTAAATATAAGCTGATAGGCCTGCAAGGATCCAGTAAAATGTTCTGCCTTCCTAATTACAGTAACCCATCTGACTCAACCATTGGCCTTAGTGCGAAACTCACCACCCCCATAGGCAAGAGAGGATTGTTGGTGAACGGTTGGCATGTGTTGAAAGAATGTTCCTTCTCCACTTGACCACTTTACATTGCCTGCAGGCTCCCCAAAAAGACCACAAAGACAGCCCCGCCTACCCTGCCCACGGGTTACGATTCAGAGGAGGAAGAGGAGAGCAGACCCATGAGCTATGACGAGAAGCGACAGTTGAGCCTGGACATCAATAAGTTACCTGGGGAGAAACTGGGTCGAGTTGTACATATAATCCAAGCCAGGGAACCATCTTTACGGGACTCAAACCCAGAAGAGATAGAGATTGATTTTGAAACGCTCAAGCCATCCACACTGAGAGAGCTTGAGCGTTACGTGCTTTCCTGCTTGCGAAAGAAACCTCGGAAACCCTACAGTAAGTAAACTGAGAGCCAGCCCCGTGCTCAGTGTGGTCTGAGGAGATAGTTTGCAAAGGGGGTGGTGCTTAATCCACTAGGAGTGGCCAGCTGCAGGCCTAGGCGTGCATTGGCTGCTTCTAGGTGTGTGTGTTGTTGAAAGGGGTCTGACAACCCGGGGAATGACACTGAGGTGCTTAACAGTGTTTGAACTGAATCCTGCTAAATTTATTTTTCTAGCCATTAAGAAACCTGTGGGAAAGACAAAGGAAGAATTGGCTTTGGAGAAGAAGCGAGAACTAGAAAAGCGGTTACAAGATGTCAGTGGGCAGCTAAATTCCACCAAAAAACCCCCCAAGAAAGGTGAGTGTTTGAAGTTGCTGCTGATTCTGACTGGGCTCTGCTCCTGCCTGTTATCACATGTTTTGCCTGTGTCTTTGTACTGCAGTGAGTGAGAAGACAGAGGCATCCTCTGCACAGCAAGTGGCCGTGTCACGGCTCAGCGCTTCCAGCTCCAGTTCGGATTCCAGCTCCTCCTCTTCATCTTCCTCCTCTTCAGACACCAGTGATTCAGACTCAGGCTAAGGGGTCAGGCCAGATGGGGCAGGAAGGCTCCGCAGGACCGGACCCCTAACCCACCCTGCCCCACACCTTCCCCCTTGCTGTGACACTTCTTCATCTCACCTTCCCTCCCCCCTCTGTAGGAGAGCTGGCTCTGCAGGGGGAAGGGACACAGGGACACAGACTGAAGGAGGAACATGGACAATATACTCCTAAATTCCCAGCCCCATTGGGTGTGACCTTTTGGGCAAAGAGCCCCCCTGTTCAGAATTACTGGGATGGGGCAGGGATACAGGGTGGGAGTGGGCCAAGGCCCTGTTAGGCCCTGTTCACTTCTAAGGGCCCTGTTTTGAGGTTGTTTGTTCTAATTTATTTTAAGCTACGTAAGGCTGAGGGGTTGTGGTCATGAGTCCCCTCAGCCTCCATGGGGAGGGAAGAAGGGGGAGCGCTTTTTTTACGTTGACTTTTTTTTTTCTACTGTTTTCCCTTTTTCCTTCCATACCATTTGGGGCCCTGGGAGTTAAAGTCATCTCCCCATATGGCCCCCTGGACTTTTGTCTGTTGGTTCTAACTTGTAAATAAAGAAAATATTATTGAAATTTCGAGTTCCATTAGTAAGTTTTCATGGTGTTTCTGAAGGAACATAAGAATTGTTTTGAGCCTGTTTTTAGTTTTGGGCTAAGAAAAATCAAGTGTTCCAAAAGTTCTAAAACTAGTTTGAAGTGGTTCTTAGGTTCCTGTGGACTGGGTTTATGAAGTGATTCAAACACAAAATAGCAAGTCAGGATAGCCACAGTGGTGGGGGTATGTGCCACGCAACACTTGTAACACAGATGGCCTTGTTTGGATAAACATTACTGCCTTAAAACTGCACAGTGCAGGGCCCAGCATGATAGGTCCTCACCTTGCACGCGCCAGGATCTCATGGACACGAGTTCTAATCCTGGCAGCCCCGCTTCCTATCCAGCTCCCTGCTTGGGACCCTGCACTTGTGTTGGAGACCTAAAACAGCTCCTGGCTTTGGATTGGCTCAGCACCAGCCGTTGCAGTCAGTTGGGGAGTGAACCATCAGGCAGAAGATCTTCCTCTCTGTCTCTTCTCTCTGCGTATCTGACTTTCCAATAGAAATTTAAAATCTTTAAAAAAGATAGTATTGATCACAGAACCGTCACAGCAGCAGCACCTACCTTGCTAAAAGCAAGAAACGGGATTTGTGCTTCAGGTAGCTGAGGTGCATGGGGTCTGGAATTGAGGGCTTTACTACAGAAGGAAGGACCAGCATCTCTGTAAGGGACCACAGCAGTTTCGTGATGAAGTAATACCTCCTGCTGTCCCGAATCCTGAGTTGAAACACCTGGGTGCTTGAAGCTCGGGAACTGGTGATACAGAATGGGTCTGAATCATTTGTTGGGTGTACCTGAAGTAATAAATGAGGGTTTTGGTTATCTTGGGATGTTGTATCGTTCTGACAAAAATAAAACGTTTGAGAAGTAATGGAGCTTTGCTAGGGGGTCTTTGGGGGTGTAGGTCTAAAGAACGAGATGGCTAAGCTGGGCTGGTTTTGGGAGGCGGAATCCAGCAAACAGGTGGCATTCTGCTTAGGTGTGTGCACGCACATCACAGTGGGGAAAAATATTCAAAAGCAGTGTTCGTGAAGTTTAACCCAGACACCAATAACAAAGGTTCTGGTTTTTAAACGTTGGCTGGGTCAGGATGGCCCCAGACTGGTAGTTTTCAGTTGACTACATAAGTTTTGGTTATCTCCAGTCCATCCTGTTTCCTGTTAGGCATCATAATGGTTTCCAGATACTTTGTGGTATGTGTATTGTGGCACTAGGAGGGCCAGTGTGGGCCCCCCATGCTCCTCACAGTTTACTAGAGTTGTTTGCTGCCAGTTTTTTTTCCCCCTTTAAGCTATTCCTCTGAAGTATTTCCTCTGAAGTAGTGTTGGCAAGGCAAGGCTAGGGACTGTTCTGTTCCTTCAAACACTGCCTAGCCAGGGTGTGGGGCTGAAGCTGGGACCATAAGGCTTTGTTTTCATGGACTTCAGACATGGAGGCATGACTAGGTCTTTATCAGTGGAACCCTTGTCCCCAGCCCTGCCATCCTGGCTCTGGGAGTCTCAGACTACTTTATTGGAATTGTTTCCATGAGGAACTCCCAGGATAGGACATCGCCCTCAGAGGCAAGCACAGTAACCAGGTAATTCAGAGAAGGAATGTTTGGGAGAACCAGGAAAAGAAAGAAGATGCTTACGGTGGAACTCTGTTAACATCTTAAATCTTACTAGCTTGGAACATGATGACAGCTTTAAGTTGTATTTCCAGTAGCAGAATACCTAGAAGACAGTTGCAGTGGGCTTTGCAGTGCAGACATTCAAATATTAAAATAAGTAATGTTTGTATCAGGAGGAGGGGGGTTGAATATTGCCAGTAGAAAAGGCAACTGGCAGCCTACTAGTCTGCTTCACAGGTGAGGTGAGGCACTCGCCTGTGCAGGAGGTGTGATTTGAGCCCAGGAAATCAGAGGCTCAGATACCTGCTACACCAGACAGTGCTGTGGGCTGGGTAGGAGCTGGAAAACAAACCAGGCAGAATCATGGGAATGGTGGTTTGTTGAGGAAGCAATTTGTCCTAGCACAAGTGAGGATGGTAGTTTATTAGTAGAGAGGCCACCAAATAGATGAAGGGATTCAAATCTAGCACTTAGCCTTTGTAGCTTAAAGTGTGTGTGTACTCTACATGCAATATGTAAAGGATTCCTGGCAGAACTTTGGAGGTGGAGGGTTCACAGTTGACCTTTAGTGGCAGGTTTGAATGGAATGCGTATGGATCAAAAGTGCTGAGACACTGGTGTACTACCACAAAGTTGCCCACAATCAGTGGGTCATCTAGCCTGCAACTTCATCCAGACTCTTATCATTTCTCTGCTCTTTCAAGTGCTGTTCCCATCCCTTCCTGTTGAGAAGTGAACCTGATTTGCCATGGTGATACGGGCCACCATTAACTCTGCACTCTGGTGCCCGGTGTTCTCCATCGCTGTCTTTGATCTTGCAGAGCCGTGCCATGATAACCAGTTACCTGGATATGGAATGGGCAAAAAGCTGAGGACAGGAGAGAATGGGGGACAGCCCAGAATGAAATGCAGTGCAGAAAGTTCTGTGAGTGGACAGCAGCTGCAGTGTCACCAGGAAGCTGAGAAAAAGAGAAAGCCAGGGCAAAGCCCTTGTACTACCAGGCACTTTGATGGATGTCTTCCATGGTGAACTCTTTACATACTGTTACATGTGTATTACTCCTTTTCAGAGCTGAGGCAATTAATGTGCACAAGATCTTGGAGCTAGTGGGACAAGGATGTGGCTGAGTTCAAAGCTACTTATTTGAAAGGCAGGGTTCTGGAAAGAGAGGGGAGAGAGATCTTCCATCTGCTGGTTCACTCCTCAGGTGGCTGCAACAGACAGGGCTGGGTCAGGCGGAAGCCAGGAGCCTGGAGCTCCAGCCAGCTCTCGCCTGCTTTTCCAGGTGCATTTGTGGGGAGTTGGATTGAAAGTGGAGCAACTAGGATGCAAACTGCCCCTTTGGAGATAATAATATTGAAGGTAGCACCTCAGGGTTTCTGTTCTACCCCAAAAGTTTCTGGTTATGCCCTGGGCATGAAACAGAAAAGGGATTTAGAAGTGAATGAAAAATAGATGCTGTTGTATGTGTTTCAAAATGAAACCAGGAATACGAAGACAGAAGAAATGGAGCAAGCTGTTTATAAGCGTAGGTGAGGAAGGCCCCAGTAATGATGTGGCACAAGGGCAAGTTGCCAACTCATAGTTAGCGTTCTTCCTAACCATACCTTCAGGCCAAGCTTAGACGTTGGGTGGGGCTTCTGTGAAGGAGGAGTCCTGTGGGAACCAGTTTACTCCAGAGGGACAGGGAGAGGAAACCAGGGTGGGAGGAACAGATGTGCCTTGACTAGAAGAAGGTGAGCCAAGAAACAAAAATTATATTGTGTGCCTTCTTCATTTTTACTGTTTTTATTAATCATGTCTTCTGATTGGAATTGGCCATGAAATCTCTAATGTGGGGAAAGATGTTATCTTATTCTTGATGCTTCTAATGTTATAGTGACTTAAGGCCACAGAACATTTTTTTTCAAAGGGTAAAACTGAAAAAAAGCAATTGTAGTCCCCCAACATAAAACAAATTTTATGCTTTGAACCCACAGATGAGAAAGTTGTATGTACTAATAACTAATGGAGCACAAAGGTATTTATTTTTATTTTAATTAAAAGCAATATATACATTACAGAGCTGTAATTATTGGTGACATACATCAACTTAGGCGTTCAGAAATCCAGTGATTGGTTGCTTAATTTCATGTTATTTTTAAAGTATGGCATAGCATTATAAACCTGCACATGTTTTCAACAATTAAAATTTCCAAACATACTAGGAAAAAAAAAAGCTGGTTAAGGTACAAAGAAAACTTAGATACTCTATTTAACTGATTTTGTCATGTTTGTTTCAATTCTGTGTATTCTGAATCCATTTCAAAGGAAGTTGAGGCTCTCATAGGATTTCCCTGATATGATTTCCCAATCAGTATTCATATTTTCCCATTTTTGTCCCAAAAATATTTGTATTTTTTTCTCCTAAAGGTATTTCTGAGGGTCATCCACTTGATTTGCACGTACTCTCTCTCAATCCCTACCCTCACCACCATCCCCACCTTATAATGTCTCCCTCTTGTCCCAGCAAGCACTTGAGACATGACATTATGGTATGAGGTGACTCTGTGCCTCCATCCTCAGCATGCCCAGTGGCAGATGGTAGTCCCACGCCTTCCTTGAGCCCACGGTCATTTATTAGCTGGCATGCAAACAAAGCTTTGGGACAGTAGTTCCTTCTGAAATACACACTTGTGTTCCTTAAGTTTACTGGGAATTAGAAATGAGAATATCACAGGCAGAGGTGCTAGAAAAGGATTTTTTTGCCTGTTTGTCTTATTGATTGCTAATGGGAACTCATTGGTGTTTGTACACTCCATGTGTCTTTGATAACAAATTGTTTCCACTCAGGTCAACAGGAGGCCCTCTGTCTTCCAGTCTTGTCTTGCCTTGCTTTCTGGAACAAGAAGATACTATGCCAGCTTTGTTTTCTCTCTGCCCCACACCTGGAGTCAGAAGAGTAGAGTAGAGCTCCCGGCTTCCTCCTGCCGCTGTCCTGGCCATTGCGGTTATAAGGGGAATGATCCACTAAATGAAAGAGCTCTCTCTGTCAAACAGATAAATCTTCAAAACAAAATCTATTGAATAAGGACTTTAGTGGCTTTTGTGTCTAGAATACATTCCACTATGAACATGTAGCACTGTCTTCTAACATCAGTTCTTTTTACTAGTTATCACACATCATAGAAATTTTAAATTTTTATAAAAACAAAGTATACATCTCAATGGGTCCCCCACAGTAGCCTAGCAGTTAAAGCCCTCACCTTGCATGCACAAGGATCCCATCTGGGCACCGGTTCAGCTCCTGGTGGCTCTGTTTCCCATCCAGATCTCCAAGCGGCCATAAAGGCCAGAGCCAATCCAAAGCCAGGATCCAG